GAATTATTATCGCATTGCTTCATTCATTCTACAGCTAACACTTTATTTTTTGGTTTTCGAACACACTCCTGCGAAGTAGTGGATGCCAGTCCTGGCCGGGTTCTGGGTTTTCATGGCCGGAACCGACGCGGTAGTTAGAATCAAATGTGGGTTCCATGAGGTAAGCTCGTCGAGCTCGTCTATGGCGGCCTTGGCCTTCTTGATTAGCCAATCGACGGCCTTGCTGGTCGGTATGGAGGAAGAAGAATGAGGAGAGACACGAAGCTAACTAATTATCCCTCCTTTTTAGGGTGTATTAGTTAGCAGTTGTAGGTATGGTCTGGGGTTGAGGTAATTTTTATAAAAAGTAGGTATAAAAAAGGTTGGGGTATTTTTGCGTTTGGTAAACTTCTAACTTCAGTTTTTTTTTTTCATAGTTTAGGGTGAAAAAAGTTAAAAAACAGAAGCAACAAAAGGTAGCTTTGAAAAGTTGGCTTTTCAGCTTTTGCACAAACCTCTAAAACACGGGTGAACAGTAACCCTTTAATGAAAATTTCTGACAATCCTACCCTCCCTTCATCTCTATCATCCCCTTTATGCTCCTCCAAGCTTCATCTTTACCAAAAATCTTTGAAGATTTGTGTCGCCCCCACTGTGAATCTACCTTGTCCCTCCTCGTGAAGATCTGAATCGTCACCACTAGAGACCCACAAGGGTCGCCAGGAGGAGAGCCCTAGACTGCTGTCATCACAAATTAACCAAAGTTGTTATACTCAAATGTCCTTGAAACTAAATCAAAATTAGCAGAGGAAGATTGCGTGTTATGAGAAACCACAAATTCACTGAGGAAGATTGCGGCGGGAAGGTCTTTCCTACAACCTTGCGGCGAAGAATCAAAGATGTGCATCATCCTCCACAATAAGATTGCGGCGGGGAGGACTTTGTGCTTGGAGCAAAGTGAGGGAGGAGTGGAATCAGGTTTTTGGGTTTTATTCTTCGTTTTCTTCTTTGGGGTCCCATGGATAAGCTTGGTTTTGGGGAATGAAGAAAAAGAAATATGATAGAGAAGCAGCAGAGGAAACAAAGAAAAAGAAATATGATAGATAAGCTTGGTTTTGGTCGTTTCACAGCGTCAAGCTGTTTTGCATAAAAGTTTATCAAACACTATCATACTGTTTTTTTTTTCTTTCCAAAAGTATTTTTACAAAAAAGTTTACCAAACACTCTGTTACTTTATTTCACAGTTGCTTATTCTTATAAATAGCAGAAGCAGTTTTTTTTCAAAACACAGAAATACCAAATCAATCTGCAGACCGCACAAAATAAACGGATCCAGATTATTAATCAGCCGCCTATTTAATACAAAAATGTACCAAACAAGTAGACCCGTATTATTGATCTTACTGGGTGTGTTTTACGAGCTGCCAAACAGAAAGAATAGCTTTATAAAACGTATCAGATTCCTTTACTTCATGGCATAAAACTAGTGGAAGAAGACTGGAAAAAGTTAAAGATGTTATAATTTCTTGAAAAATACGTTCTAGCTGTAACTTAATTTTTCTAGCTAATAACCGTAATGTATTATATTGATAGAGAAAAAGAGAGAACCGTCTACACCAATTATCTTATAGTTTTCACACGGTGATGACAATTAGGGCTGTTGCTTAAACTTTTTTAAAGTAATTTTTTGGGGTCTTAATTATGTTTGGCCAATGAAAAAAAAAAAAAAACGGATTTTTTTTTCTTTTCAAAATCATGGGTCCATAACACCGCAAAAAGTAGAAACAGATTTAAACTTGCTTTTCAAATTTTTTTTTTTTTTTTTCATTGGAGGCAGCTGAAAAATTCTAATTAATGAAACTTTCATATAGACAATCCTATTCCCATTTCTATTTTTGCTAAAAACACTTTTAGCACTATAGTTTACCAAACACCTCTTTTCACAACTATTTATTTTCACACCACAATAGAAGCAGTTTTGATAAAAAAAACTTAACCTCTAGTTGGTCATTGTGAAGTTCATCTTTGTTTTCCGGAAGCAATTACTCACCTTAACCAACGCACCAAACAAAGCATTGTGTTTAACTTTCCTCTTTTCTCTCTGTGAGAGTTCTTCCCTCTGTTTGAGGGTGCGTCTCACCATATTGTGTGAGTGATTTCCCGATCGTGCTTCCGTTTGGTGCCGCCGATCCTAGCTGCGGCTGGGATTGGTGGGTGGTTTTTTGATTTTGCTTTTTCTTTCTTCTCCCCTTCCATCTGCTGATGGTCTTTCTCCTTTTCCTCGGGCTTTTTTGCTTTTGTTTTTTCTTTCTTCTCCCCTTCCATCTGCTAATGGTTTTTCTCCTTTTCCTCTCTGGCTTTTCCCATCCCCTAACCCCGGTGGGTATCCCTTTTCATGGCCCTTCCTTGCTTCGTTTTTCAACCATGGTTTATGTAGAGTTCGTGTGTAGAGTTCCGGTGTCGTATCCGGTTCGGGTGTTTCCCACACCACCACGTTCTCCTTGTTGTTTGCCATTCACAGCGGTGTTGCTCGGAATTTTCCCAGAGCTTCTTCCCAATGGTTGGCTTCTCTCTCGCCAACTATCTCTTGTTAATGACTGTGTGCAGGTGGCACCTGTGGAGGTGATGATCGGCGGTGGACAGAGGATTGGATGGCTGGCTACTTCTCAGATTGGCGGTGGAAAGCACAGTAGATGTTTCTTGGATGTTCGTTTTTGTTTGGGCTTCATTGTTGTTGCTCATTTTCTGTGTTTTCTTTGTTTTTAGGCTTGTTCTTTGTTTGTTTCAAGAAATAAATTGGGTCCTTGTTTCGTTTGTTAGTGTGTGTTTGTTTTAATAAAACCTCCTTGTTGACAATCCTTTTGGATATCACTTTCCGAAAAAAAAAAAAGCCAATAACAAAGCATTGTGTTTTCATCAGAATTTATGGAAAATTATAACATTCATGTGGTTGTATCAAGGAGGAACAACTTTGAGAATTCTCAGTCTCACACACGTGCAAAGACGGAAGACCAAATCATTTGCATCTTAAATTTCTTCCTACCTTTGCAAGATTAGTATTCATCAATTTGGTCGTATATAATTAATTTTCTTTTTTGACAAAGGTCGTATATATAAATTAATTAACTTAACGTAGACATGAAAAATCCCTTAAAATTCTTGAATGGGAATATGGTAGACTTAATGTTTACAGGTTCAATGGATAATTTGACCGTTACGTGCCAGATTGCCAAAAGTATACTAATCTTGGTCACCAATGATGCTTCTTGAGTTTGGCATTTAGCTACTTGCATGTCACTTCTGTGTTTGCGGTGCCAAACATTCAAGCCATACGATTTAATTGAAAACGACCTCTTATACATTATTCGTTGCAAATAAACCTACCAATTTTTGTTAGATCGGTGTTATCTATTCATATTATGATACGTTAATTATTTCATAATTTTGATGCTCATAGTCATAAAGCGTGTGTAAGAAGAATATCCTGTTACTTGTTGACTTCAGTGCTAGTAGGAAAAAAAATATACACGTTTTGTACTTTCTTTTTTGTTTGTTTTGTTACCTTTATTAGTAAGCAAAGAGAAAAACAAACCTAAAACCTCAAGTGTAAAAGTAAATGTTTTTTAACAATTTGAAGTGCAAGACTTAACCAATGCTTTAAACTAAAAATAGCTAGTGCCACTTAATGCTACGGTCTAGTGATATTCCTCTTTATTTGTAAGTAAGAGGTCTTAGGTTCGATTTTCGCTGTAAACGAATTTGACCCACATTATTGTTACCCTATTATGAGACTAAATCCAACCCCATCTTTTTAGAGCAAATAATATCGCTTGTTTAAAAAAAAATAAAAATAAAAAAAAAAAAAAATAAAAAAAAAAAAGCTTAAAATAGCTAGAAGACCCAAAAGACACTTTGACTACAAATAGCTAGAAGACCCAAGTAGGCAAGTCCTGCAGTCCCCACCCGACCCTAGCGAACGGGATTTATTTGGAAATGGATGTATCTGGAAGGGTTAGGATTTGGATTCATTATTGTCTTGATTAGTTGATTTGGTCTAGTAATTTGACCCAGCTGTAATCCCGCCCACTCTCTCATCATCTAAATTTCTTAAACTAGTGCACTGTTCCTTTTACTACAACAAACAACGATAATTTCACGTTGAATTAAAACTGGAACAATAAAAAAGCGAAAGACGAGAACAAACTGATACGGTACGAGTAAATTAAATCTCAAATAATTAAATATGTTCTGATACCAAATTGAATATCAGAATACGCAACAAAATTAACTGAATATAAAACTTTATTAAATAAATAAATACGAAATTACCAAAAAAACTACATGAACTCAAGATGCTACATCTTGACTTGTTTAAACTAATGCACTTATTATTTAAGAAAACTAATGAACTTTTTATTTTCTTAAACTAGTGTACTTTTTATTTCTTTCAATTAATAACCTCCACTTCATAATTTCACTATTTTAATGATTGTGCACATATTGCTATATCCAATGGATGAATCAACCCATCTAGGTTTTCCGTTGAACTCTTACTTGAAGTTCCTAACTTCCTATAGTTGTACGTAGGGATGGAAAAAATTCCCGAAAATCTCAAATCGAACAAAAAAAATCCCAATCCCAAACCAAAAAAGTCCCAATTCTTAACCAAAATTCTCGAAAATTTCGGGATGAAATACCGAACCAATCCCGAAATTTCGATATGGGATTCGATATTGTCTACTCAATTTTTTGGTAATCCCATACTGAACCGAAAATAAATATTATATATATATATATATATATTTTTTTTTTTATACATTTGATGTCACATCTCGACCCAGGGCCCCCACCACATCCTAAGCCCAACTCCACTGTAGTACGATATTGTCCGCTTTGGGCCCCTACCACACCCTCACGGTTTTGTTTCTAGGAACTCACACGAGAACTTCCCAGTGGGTCACCCATCCTGGGATTGCTCTCGCGCGAACTCGCTTAACTTCAGAGTTCCCATGGAACCCGAAGCCAGTGAGTGGGACATTTGATAAAATTGGAACGATACAGAGAAGATTAGCTTGTCCCCTGCACAAGGATGACACACATAAATCGAGAAATGGTCCAGATGAGAAGATTGCTAACATTCCTCATTGTACATTTGACAATTTGGTATCAGAGCCTAACCCTGGCTGCGTGTGTGCCGACGAGGATGTCGGACCCATAAAGGGGGTGGATTGTAACATCCCATATCGCCCAGGGGAGTGGATCCTCTAAGCTTTATATGTATATTCCCATCCCTACCTAGCATGAGGCCTTTTGGGAGCTCACTGGTTGAACAATCCTCCTTAAGGGCCCGATGTCCTCGTTGGCACACACGCGGCCAAGGTTAGACTCTGATACCAAATTGTCACATTCCGGCCCGGGGCCCCCACCACATCCTGGGCCCGACTCCACTATAGCATGATATTGTCCGCTTTTGGCCCCTACCACACCCTCACGGTTTTGTTTCTGGGAATTCACACGAGAACTTCCCAATAGGTCACCCATCCTGGGATTGCTCTCGCGCTAACTCGCCTAACTTCGGAGTTCCCATGGAACCTGAAGCCAGTGAGCTACCAAAAGGCCTTGTGCTAGGTAAGGATAGGAATATACATATAAGGCTTACAGGATCCACTCCCTTGGACGATGTGGGATGTTACATTTGAGCTGTTGCTAACTACTAGTAGCAATATAATTGGTGTGGTCTACAGTTAGTAACCATAGCTCTTTATCGCCACATCTGTCAGTACGAACCTCCCACAAATACGTCTATTTCTTCAACATGAAATCAAAAAATTGTAGTGTTAGTTTTCGAACATATTAGGTTTTTAACTTATTTTTTCGTTTTTGGGTTTGTTAATTATTTTATTTTGGTTGCAAGCTAATTTAACTTGATATGAATCATTGCTATTTCAATTTGTATGAAATTTGGGAATACCAAGCCATCCTGAAATATCAAAAATATTTCGGGAATACCAAAAATTGGGAATACCGAAATTTTAGTTTGGGTGGTCTTCAACTAGTCTACAACTTTTTAAAGGCATTCGTTCATTTTGATTATTGAGACTTTTTTTTTAATCTTTGATCCTTTGCAACGTTTCTTGTCACAAATATAATGAACATTGTAAGATTATTTTCCAAAATTTTCAATTCACTCAGACATATTTTAAACAAACGTGTCTCCAAAAATCAAGGGGCAATTATCTATAACATGTTTAATAAGAGTATGTTTGGTAATGTTTTGCAACATAGTTTTGCATTTTACAGATACAAAAATAAGTGTAGAATGTGTTTGGCTAGATTGCCTTTTAGTAATAATGAAAAGGGTAAATTATAAAAAATTACCTTGACTATAGGTTCAACGACAATCTCATACCTCATGTTTGAAAAATGATAATGTCATATCTCATCTTATAAATTCGTGTCAATGTTAGACCTTCGTTAGTTTTTTTGTTAGTTTTTCTATTAAATGCTTGGGCTCCACTCTTTAGTCCAACTGGATTAAAAAATTAATAAAATATTAAATAATTAAATAATATTTTTATAAAATAAGTGGGATGTTGTTGGGATGTTGTGTTCCTTCCGAGTGCAATATATGGTTAGTATAATGGTACAAGTAAAGGTGTCGAATCACAGGGACTGATTAGACAACTAAAAATTACTAGCCTTGAAAGAACCCTAACTAAACAATGAAAATAACAAATTAAATGTAGGTTGTGTGCTGTTAATGAGAATAACTAAAAATGCAAGAAAAATGTAACAACGAATGATATGTTGATTGAGAAATTATGAGGATGGGTCCAGGGATTTTGAGTTCACCATTACAAAACCAATTCCATGTTTATAAAGTTAAACCGTATTCAATTACCAACCTGTTTCCAGAGTTCATTTTTACATATATATGATCAGCCATATGATGTGTGGTTTTGATCAAATTCTCCTAATCTACAACCTAATTAGGATGTTCAACTTCGGTTCCAAATTAAGAGTCTTTAGCAAGCAAGAAAACGTTAAAGAACCAAAGAAAATACATGGCAGGATGTTTGCATAGCATTCTCTTCATTCATTCACATGTCTACCAAGATTAAGCATGATGTTTACTATAATCTTGATCAAATGATCTGTAAGAAATCCTAATGGTGATCAATCATTAAAATTAACAAACAAATTTAACAAAAATTCAGTGAATGAAACAAGAGACAGATTGATGAATTCAATATTTTAACATAAAAACATGGATCAATTGCGCAAGGCTACATCAAAATCCCTAGCTATGAATTTAGTTACACATCATGTTCACAGAGATGAAATTGGAAATACACAACATGAGTGAAAATAAATCAAAGAGAGAGGAAACCCTTGAAGCAATTCTGATGTTGAACTTCTCGAAAAATAACTTGTCGGGATAAGTCTTCGATGATGTTGGAGAGTATAGAATGGGTGGAGTTTTGAGTGTGGATGAAAAGAGAGAAAAATAATGACTAGAGTTGTGAAATTCGCTCAGAATGAAAGGTGTATGTAAAAGTGGCTGAAAGGCTAGGTTTTATGATGTTAAAAGCTGTTACAGATTGCCAATACATCCCAGTAATTGGGCATTTAATTCCCATGTATTTTTTTTTGCTATTATTGGTCTCATAAAGAGCCATATTCATCATCATATTAAATTTCCACTTTTAATTCTTTGTCTACATCAGCATCCTTATTCAATTCTCCATTTTTAGCACCATTTTACCTTATTTGTCCTCATCTGAGCTCCAAAATATGATTAGCTGCACACTAACACAAAAGAGAGTAAAATGCAACTAGTTTAACTCAAAAATATCACAAAGGGACTAGGAATAGATGGTATAAATGTATGAAATATATAAGTTATCATGGGACCCATCCTCACAAATTCATCACCCTCACCAAATTTAAATCTATAACCAAACACCCCCACAATCCCACTCTTCTGCCACCACCACAACCCCAAACTCTTTCTCCGTACAGTTACACCACATCGATGCAATGGTGCTTAACAAAACCCCCACCCAACTCTTCCACCTCCGCCTTCAGTGCGACGCCTTCAGTGTCACAACCCTTACCTCACTCGCAGCTTCTGCGGTATCCCTAAACAGAACAACCAGAGGCATCTTCTCCATCTCCAAACACTTCTCTATTTTCTTTTTCTTCTACACTCTACACCATCACTGTCCCTCATCGTCGTTCATCATCACCGTCCCTCACGGCCTCTCTCTCTTTAATTTTTCTACCACTGATCCGGAAGCTCCTCATGTCCCACCTAGAGGTGAGTTCCTCTGGTGGATGGATTCCGACGCCATGTTCACCGACATGGCATTCGAGGTCCCCTGGGAGCAATACAAGAATCACAATTTTGTTATGCATGAATGGAACAAGATGGTGTACGATGACAAGAACTGGATCGGGTTGAACACCGGGTCATTCCTACTCAAAAATTACCAGTGGTCGCTCGACATTCTAGACGTCTGGGCACTGATAGGTCCAAAGGGGAAGATCCGAGATGAGGTACAGGTTAGGGTTTTGAGGGAGTTAGGGGGTTTTTTGTTTGAAATTGGTCTGGAGATGGAGAATAGAGGGGATTATGGAGGTGTTTGGTTACAGATAAATTTGGTGAGGGTGATGAATTTGTAGGGGGTAGGTCCCACTTATTTTATAAAAATATTATTTAATTATTTAATATGTAATTAGTTTTTTAATCTAGTTGAACTAAGGAGTGGAGCCCATCTTAAGCCACGTCAACATTTAACAGAAAAATTAACAGAAAAACTGACGGAGGTCTGACGTTGACACGAATTTGTAAGATGAGGTATGACATTGTCATTTTTCAAGCATGAGGTATGAGATTGTCGTTGGACCTATAGTTGAGGTAGTTTTTTTTTGTAATTTACCCTAATGAAAAATGTATAAAACAATATGAAGGCTAAAATATGTAACCCATCAAATATGTTTTTATGTTTTCTCAAAAATTAAATCCAAAAAAATGTATATATAAACAAAGGTAGAATTTTTATTGAGAAAGGAAAAAAAAAAAAAAAACCATATGCGCCATCATGGCTACCATGCCTCCACCGTCTTAATCCACCACCATTACTCCCACTACCACCCAACCACCATTGGCAAGACTACCTCACACCACAAGCCTCCCACCACCATGCCATAACCGTCACCATCACCTTCATCACCCCCACCTCTATGGCCACCGCCACTTCTATGGTCATCGACATGGAGCAAAAAATAATCCTAAAAATCCTAGAGTTGCCATGTGAACTTTTTTCTGAAGAAGACAAGAATACCCTTATTAAATTGGTGGGGCCCACATTTAATCCACGTGCAGTTCAACCTCCTTGAAGACATGAGCAACCGACCACGATGTCATCAAACTCTAATGCCCATGGCAAGGAGAAAAGTCAAGGGCATTAAAGATAGGGTTAATTACCAAATCTTATTTTTAATACTCTCTTAATTGAATGTCAACTCAAACAAGAAAAGAATTTCAATCAGATTCAATTAGGGATAATTCCAAGATAATACCAATAGATTATCTCATAATTAATATCTTGGGATTATTCTTTCCTCATCTATTCTATAGATGACACACCTTAGACAATGAAAAGTTGCCATGTGTAGGGCAAAACCCCACCCTATGGCGGGGCCAGTCCTAAGTTTTTGGGTGACAGGGGCAAACTTTCAAAACGTTTCTTTTTTCAATACACGAACATATATTATACTATTTGAGGAAAAATATGCACTTGGGGACATGACATAGTACCTAAACCCCGACGATCAAAACCAAAATCATATACAGCCACTCCAAGCAAAACTCCTTAAAATATCAATTTTAAGAAACTGTCTTCTTGCATTTTTTTGACGCAAAATCATCATTTATATTTGTGGATGCAAATTTCTGCCATTTCTTCCTTTAACGAAAATGCACCTGCAAAATAATAGCACCTAAGATTAAGGCCAAAAACATCACGCGCCCACGATGAATAGGGGGGCTTTGGCCAAAGAATCTCTGATGCCAAAGCTAGAATTCTAAAAAGAATGTTTTTGAGTGTTTGTGGGTAGCAA